CAAAAATATATTAAAACTTTATTTTATAATAATAATTTATATTATAAATAAAGTTCACTAATCAGATTTAAAAATTTGTTTGTTGACAAATAAACTAATCAAAAACTTTTGAATTAGAAATAAAAATCTTTTTGTTTTTACATTCTACCTTCTTCATAATTTATTCGTTTACAAACTTTTACACATTTAAAATTGATTCCAATTCTATTTTTTACAAAAATTTTTATACATCTAATAATTATTACAAAATGCATTTCTTTTACTTAATTCTTGTTGCAATTATTTGCTTTGGTCTTTTAATAGTTAATAATATTGAAAAATTTGATATTATAACTTTTATTTTTGAAATTATTTATTTCAAAGAATTCTTTTTTATTGGAATGATAATTTATATAATAATTATTATATTTAATATTTGGTTTTGGTGCTATCTAATTTGCATATATCCTGAAAGATATATTTATTAATTAATTTTTGTAACAAGGTAAATATTTTTTACTGAGTTAAAGCTTTAGTATTTATCAAGTTGTAAGTTATTGCTACTTCAAATGAGTCCTATAGTATTAGAATTGGTACTATTCGTGAATAGTATAGTGAAATCATGAAGTGTAAAATTTGATTTTATAATGATAATATTAAACTCACTATTATTTTTATTTAGATAAATAATTTAATACAAGCAAGAAAAAAACTAATATGCTAAATATTTTCTGTTATAATCCTTAAGGTTTGTTCAAAACCAAATATATTTAATATTAAAATTTTTTACAATTTTATTTATTCTTTTATAATTTTTATCAATAATCCATGTATTTTTTTCAGTTACATCTTCTAACAAATCTAATGATTCATTATGAACTTGAAAACTGTAACCATCATTCCAACTATGTATTGTTGAATAGATATAGTACTCATTTCAAGAAAGCAAATTATGCAATCTTTTATATTTATTTCTTTGTAAATTTTTAATGAAGGATTAATAATTTCTTTATCAATTAGATAGTTTTTGAATTCTTCATAACTTGTAAATATAATATAGTCATTAGTTTTAATTTTACTAATAAATTGAAGTTCTTCTTTGATTGTTGGTTTGGAAATTTTATAGTCTTCATTAATGACAGTTGATGAAGTACTTGTTCAATTTGAATCATCTTGAACAATATTATTTTAATTATCTTCTTTAAATGTTTTTGTTTTCTTGAATATAGTTTTGATTTTTTTAATAATATTCTTGAAGAAAGGCATTTTTGTTCAATATATAATTTAATATAAAGAAATTAATTTTATATCAAATTTTGATTTTATCTTTTTATTATTTTTTCTTGTTAATTTAGAAGCTAGTTTCTTAAACTTGTTTATCGATTTTTTTTTTTAATATTTCTTAATAAAGTAATTTTTGTACCAATAAAAATTTATTTATAATAAATAATTTTTAATAATAAGAAAATTTGATCATATGATAATTGTTTACTATCAATCAAAAATAATGAAATCTTAAGACTTGTGATTGTTTTGATGATCAATTTTTTTTTGAAAAAAATAAAAAAATTTTGAAACATCACAAAATCATTGTAATAAATTTAACTTAATTATTTTGATATCAATCAATAATAAATTAAACTTCAGTAAAATAATCCATCTTTATTTTACATTAGCATTACTGATCATAAAGTATATTTAATAATTTTTTAATAATAAAAAATGATAAAATTTATTTTTTCTTTATTAAAAAATGTCTTCTCAAAATCAACAAAAACAACAAGAAACCCAAAAACATAAAGATAATTCTTATTTATCTTTTTCTTTATATTACATGTTTATACTTTTAAAAAGAACAATTGAATATGTAGAAATTGAATTAATAAATATAGATGATAAAATGTTTAAACTAAAATAAATAAAACACTTCATCTTACTTTTAATAATATTATTATTTTTCTTTTATTAAATATATTTTTGAACAATTCATACAATGAATCAATTATTTATTTTTTATAATTTAAATATATTAAAATTTCAAATTCATTAAATAAATCAATTACTTTTTTCTTATAATCAACAATTATTATATAATTGTCGATACAATAGTAATTAAAAATTTTTTGATTCTGGTTTGTTAAATAATATTTGAAAAATTTATCAGCATTTTGAAATTGCATATTATAATCTGAAAATAATAATATTTTTTGCTCGAAACATTGTTTATATATCTTTTCAAAATCATCATTTTCAAGTTTACTTATTACAACAGACATTTTTAGTTAATGAAAATAATTTGAAGATATTTAAATATTTATTTATATAAAAAAAAAATAATATATATAATAATAAAAATAATAATATAATTAATTATCTATTTTAATTTTTTTTGGTTTAATAATATTAGTTCTGTATCTTTACATTTATCTGATTGATATTTTGGATGAATTTTAATCTTTTCTTATAACTTTTTATATAAAACATTAATATTTTTAGGAATTATAATATTATTAGATAAATCTACTTCCCAGTATTTGTTATAAATTCAGAAACTATTTTCTTCATAATTTATATTACAAATTATGTCTCTCAAAATCCAATTCATATCAATTTAACATTTTAGATATATACTAGCATCATTTTTATATAAGTTTTCAAAATCATTATCATATACATAATTTTTAACTTCTTCAATATCTAAATCTTCTTCAAACTTAACATCAAATCTACCATTAATAAATAATTATATATCTCTAGGTTGGTAATTATCAATAGTTTTAATTATAAATTTACTTGTTCATCATGAAAATCTCCTTTCAAGTTAATAATATATCTATATGTAAATGATTTTAATTTTGAAAATCTTCTATGAATAGCTTTTTTCTTTTCAAAACCAATTTTTGGTTTTTTACTAAAAATACATGTTCTGTAACTAAAAATATCATCAAAAGAATCTTGAGATGTGATCACATTAAATTTTGCTACTATGTTTACAAGAGGTAGTTTTTTTCAACTAATTGAGCATCTGTTTTTCTCAGTTAATTTTAAGAAGTCTTTAATATTTCATGAATCATATTTGAATTTTTGAGTATATGTACATTCTTGATTATAATATTCATTAATATATCAATTATCTCTAGCTTTGTTACAAATTTTTTGATCATATAATTCATTTTTAAAAAGTTTAGTCAATGCTCATACTAATTTTTTAGTTGTTTTTGATTTTCCAGTTTCTGAATCACTATAAAATAAAAAATTTTTTGGATAGTGTTTTTTGTGATATATAAATTTAATAGTATTTTTTAATAATTCTCAATCCTTTGTTATTATTTTATAAGATGCTAAGTTATCATATCATAATAATGGTATTTGATCAGAATTCTGTATTGCTTAATAATAACTTATAAATTTATCACATAATTTTGTTTTTCTGTTAATATCATCAAGTTTAGCATTATTAATTTTATCAATAGTCTCATTTGAACTGTCAACTATAAATCGATGTTTTCTAAAAATAAATAGACCAAAATCTAATTTATCTAATTGTTCTGTTCTTCATTCTTTACAACAATTATTATTGCATAATTTATATTTGCCTAATTCATCTAATTTAAAAAAATCATACTGACATATTTTCCTATATTTGGGTTATAATGAATCTTACATTATTTATATTGTTTTAATACATAATTTTCAGCATCTTGAGAAGTTTCATATAACAAAACACCTGAGAAAAATGAAATTTTTTTATCTTTTAAAAGTTTTTTTACACTAGACATTGTAAGTTGATAACTAAATTGTAAAAAGATATGAGCATGCAATCTTGCTTGCATTGTTCATTCAAATTTTGCAACACTTCTAGTCAATATGTTTCCAAAAGTATCATATTCTTCTTGATTTCTAGAAAATGAATATTAATATTTGATTTCTTGTTCTTTACAATTTAAACAATTTATATCATTACAAAGTGCAAGTTTATAGTATTGGGTACATTTTTCTTCTTTACATCTCTAATGATTTTTTTTACAAAATAAACATATTTGATAATTCTTTTGTTTAATCAAATTCTTGTTCATGTATTTTTTTTTCTTTTTCATCGATTCTGTTTTTCTTTAAACATTGATATTTTTCATTGCAATTAATACAATGAAATGTTATTATCATCGTAAAACAAAATTTATAACTTATTCTTATATTAATTGTTTAAAAATATAAATTGAAATATTAAATTTATGTAAATAAAATTCTACTTAGTACTAATGTACAAAGTAGAAAATATTTTTATTAAAATCAATATCTGTTAATTACATAATATTTAAAATATATTTATTATCTTTTACAAGTAATTTTATATATTTTTCTGATCATGCCATTGTTATAATAAGATGAAAATTAATCTCAATAAAATCAATATCAAAAAAATTATTTTTTATAGCAATAACTTTGTTAAGAGAAATATAACAATAAATATTATTATTGATAGTTGTTATAATGTGTGATTGAACAATAATATTTCTCTTTATGAACAAGAATTGCAAATGTAATAATATACCTTTTAAGTCAAAATCACAATTTAAATATACAAGTTGTATATTCTTATACCGTAAGCAATATGTTAATGACATGTAAAATATATTTAATAATTATTTAAATTAAATAATTATATAGAATAGCTGGCTCGTGAAACTCAGTATTCTGTTATGTATTTGTGTACTCTTAAAACCAAAAGGTCAACTTCCTTTTCAAATACAAAGTACTGAAAACATTAAGGAAAATAGGTCTTTATATAGTTTTTTTTAATTAGTAAATTTGTAGATTAAAAATTTATATTTTTGCGATACATGGATCAATCATACATAAGTGTAATATAGAAAATATATGAACATCAATAATTTTATATAGAATATTATTTATATAACAAATGATTTTCAAATCCTTATTTTTTAAAATACAATATATTATCTTTATACAAAAAATTCAATATATTAGTAAAATGAAATCTATTTTTACTAATAATAAAAGTTTTAGATAATGTTTTGAACTTTTAGAATCTCTGTTTATGCAACAAATGAAGATGTATTTAAAAAGTTACAGCCTTTTTTGTAAAGAGAACCAGTAATAAATAAAACTTTTTATCAACAGAAAATCATTTTCGGAATGTATTTCTTTCTAATTACTATATAATATGCTAGTAATTAAAAATGTTGTCAGTATTATTTTACATTAGAATCCAAATTTTTAAGAAAAATAAACAAAAACTCATACAGATATTCAGATTTTTCATTTGAAAAACATGTATGTTTTTTTTCTTTGAAAAAAAAGAAAGAAGGTTCATATTCAGTTGAAAATATTCGTTAAATAAAACAATCAATATAATATTAAGTAAGTTGGTAGTAATGATTCATAAGATTTTTTTGTAAAATTTAAGGGTAAAAGGATCAATATTTATAGAATTGTTCTAATTTTTGATGAAATATTTTTCTTCTTTTCTTTGTAAATCTTTTTTAAAAAATCATTAATATTAAAATCATGATTTACACAAAATTTTAATAATAAAATAGTAAAAGTCATTCTAAGAAACTAGCATTATTTTTAGCTTCTGCTTATAGTTACTAAAACTATAAATACAAGTCTCATAATAAAAGTTTTTATAAATTATGATTTTTTTTAAATGAACATATAACATATATATCTTTTATTAAATTTGTATTATATATGAAATATTTTTTTAATATTAATTATATTATAATGATTAAAAATAAAACAAGAAATATGTTTGGTTGTAAAAACAATTAGTAAAGCTTCTTTTTAATTAATTAGTAACCAGCTTTACTAATTGTTTTTTACTATATAAACTATGATTTGACAATTAGTAAAGCTGGTTACTAATTAAATCTATTAATTAACTATATAATAATTTAATTAGGAAGGAGATTGACTAAATGTTTTTTTATGAAATAGGATGATCTGATTGGTCAAACCACCAGTTTATTATTAAAAAAACAATTAGTTGAGCTGATTCTATATTCTCAACTAAACATCTTTATATAATTAAGATTCATGTAATTTTAATTTTATATAAACATAATATAATTATTAACTAAAGTATATATAATTAATAATTAGTGTTATAGTTGATTTTTTTTAGACAAAGTACTTGAGAACCATGTTCCCAAGTACTTTGTTATCTATATTAAAAAAAATCAGAAATAGTAATATTAAAAGAAAGAAAAAAGCAACAATGCTATATAAAAGAATAGTAGCACTAAGTAAGCTACTATAGAAGACTAGGAAGTTGGTTAAGAAAGAAAGAAATAAACTAAACTTAGAGAAAGTTAACATAGAAGTAGATAAGATAAACATAAAATATAGCCTAAAAATAGGTCATATAGAAAAAGACAGAAAAGTAAATCTTGAAGAATAGTGACAGTTAACAAAAAAGCAATAGCAAGCATTAAGAATAATAGAGAGAATGAAAGAAGACAAGTGTACAAGAAATGAAATTAATACTGCAATAGATAGAAGATGTAAGAAGATTGATGAAGAAGTAGAAAGAATACTTACTAGTATTCTAAACAAACTATTTAACAAAATTAAAATTGATTAAGTATTAAAACAAAAAGAAGATGGATGCTTATTAATCAATAAACCAAATGCAGTATTAAAGCAGATAAAAGAATATGTTAGCAAGCAGTTCAAACAGAGAGACATAATTAAAGATAAAGAAGTAATAGAAAAGTTTTACAAGCCACTTGCAGAAGTCAAAAAAAAGTGATATAAGAAGTTAAAGGCAGAAATAACAATTAAAGAATGAATAGAAGCAATAGAAAAAACTAAAAATAAATAGCATCAGACATATTGAATATTAGATACAGTCTAATTAAGAATGCAAGTGATAAAACACAAGAAGTCTTTAAAAAAGTTGCAAATACATGTTTAAGACTAGGAAAGATACCATACAAGTAGAAGCTAGTACAAATATATCCAATCTCAAAGGGTAAGGATTGGAGTTACAAGTTTTGTAATATTAGACCAATTAAACTATTTGAAATATTTAAAAAATGCTTAACCAAAGTGGTAGCAAAAAGAATGTCTAGTATAATAAAAGAAAAAAAGATATTTAAGGGCCCAAACTTTGCTAGTCTACATGAAAACTCAACAGAAAAAGCAATACATATTGTAGAAATAATAAGAAAAAATATAAAAGAAAGTAATAAGGAGTTGTAGTTGCTAATGCAAGATATGAAGAAAGCATATGATTTAGTATCAATAAAAGCACTTTAACTAGCATTACAAAGAATTAAGCTGCCAGGTAAAATAGTAAGGTTTATCATAGAATTATATAGCAGAAGAGAAGTTAGCATTATAATAGAGTTTAGATTAACAAAAACATTTGTTGCTAAGAATAGGATTGAGCAAAAAGAGACAATTTCACCATTAGTCTAGAGGATATTTTATAACTTATTATTAAGAAGAATTTAAGATAATCAGTAGTTAGAATATAAAATTGAAGCATATAAAGTGCTTGATTTGCAAATGAACAGAGTTAAAATTAAAAAGACAAGACAAGCTGCAGTAGCATATGCTAATGATACAACTTAAATAGCAAAGAGTAGAGAGAAGATGCAAGAAATTATCTAGATTTTGCAAAGATTCTTTAGATTCAATGATATTCAAATCAATAGTTCTAAATCAAAGCTGTTAGTAGTTAACTCAGATATAGAAAGAAAGAAAAAGTCTGTTTTAATAAACAATTTTTAACTACAGGTTAAAGACAAGTGTATATTAACAAGAATGCTAAAGGTATGGTTAAGTATAAAAGCAAATGAAAGCTTAGTTGTCAAAAAGGTAAGAAGAATCATATAACAATTTATATGAAGTATACAATTTAAGAAGTTAACTATCAGTCAGTTAATATACATTAATAATATATGTATAATATCAAAATTGACATATATGTTGCAAACTACAAAGGCATCTAAAGAGCAGCTAATTTAATTATATCAACCAGTAATTAGATTAATCAAGAACAAAGTAGGGCTGTCATCGATTATAAAAAATAGTACAATTATATATCAAGGTTTAAAAAGATATAGAATATTGAATTAAGAAATATTTAATAATCAGTTGGTATTATTGCAAAGAAGACTAAATGAGTTAGATTAGATTGGTGAAATAACAAAAATATGAGTAAAGCAGAGCTTTGCTCTGGCTGGATTGATATCAGAAGAATTAGATGCAGCCTTGTTAAGTAACTTAAGGCAAATTTAAAAAAATAATTTAATATGTTGAGTTATACTTAAAGCAAAAGAAATAGGTATAACTGTAAAATAAGAAAACAGTCTTTGGCAGATTCATAGTACAGATAAAACTGTATATAGTTTGATAAAAAAGGAAACATTTAGAGTGGCATATAGAAGGTTAATGGAGTATAGAGTATTTTTTATACAATACTTAATTGATCAAAATGGCAAGAGAATAATCACATGGAAGAAGTTTAGAGTATTATAAACAAGTATACAAAGAGAACAAAAAGCAAAATAGTTTGCAAAAATTAAACAGAAAATGTTAAGCAATCAAGGTAACAAAACAGTTCGAGCAGAATTTCAAATACAAGGCATGAACACTATAGCAATAAAATTGATATATAAAAACTAACACAAGATAAAAAAAAGCATGATTAAGTACTAATAAACAAAAAAAATATAAATTCGATAATAGGCAAAGTAGTTAAGAAAAGAAAAAAAGACATACTTATAAATCACTGAAATACTTCATGAATTGAGAATAGAAATTATTCAGTGCTTGTAGAATGTGAAAAGTGCAATTTGGATAATGGAAATGATGCAAGTAGTTGCCAATATTGGGTTAAAAAAAAAGAAATAGCAAGCATGCTGCCAGAAATTAGACAGGAGAACAAACAGATGATTTCAGTTCTGTTAAAAAAATTAAGTAAATTTAAAAAAAGCTATATAAAAAATAGAAGCAATAGTAAAGGAAGAGAAATAGATAAAGAAATAAGAATACATACATATAAGATTAGTCTGTTAAAGATGCAAGGTTTTGATAATAACCTAAAAACCTTGTTATTGAAGCAATTAGAGAAAAACATAAAAGTAAATTATACAAATTACAGCTTTTATACAGACAGGTTATTAGTAAAAGAAGAAAAAGATTGCAGAATAAGTACAAGTTGAATACAGGTTAGTGAAGATAAGAGCAGATTGATAATGAAAAGGAAAATTAGAATAGCAAAATGGCTGTTATTAACAAAAGCAGAGTTAGTTGCAGTGTGAATAGTAGTATTAGTTGTAGTATATAATAGTAAGGTAGTTATTAAATTAGATAGTGCAGCAGCAATTGCAAGCCTAAAAAGAGAAGAGCCATTATATAATATTAAACCATAGAGTAAAAGTAAGAACTTTAGTTTAGTCACAAAGATTAAAGATATATGCAAGTTAAAGAACATTAGGCTATCATTAGTTAAAGTTAAAGCATATAGTGAAATAGTATGAAACAAAAAAGCTGATAAGCTTACAAAAGAAAGTGCATGACATAGTAAGATTGCAAACTTGAAGCTTAAAAAAAATTTGAGGTTTCTATATGCATTATTTTGAAAAGACAC